GCGACTGTAATCATTCCGCCGTCGGCTCACGGATTCGTGAGGCCGACACAGATAAGTTTCACAGTACCGCTGGCCGCATCCGAAATTGCGTCCGAACGAGCCGAGCTCGTTGAATCATAAAGGAAACTCCGAGAGCTAAGGTCCCGTGTACGAGGACCGAAGGCCGCACCGCGTACACCGAGCCGATTCCAATCTCCGCGATAGGAGATCGAAGGGGAGCGCCACTAAGGCCATATCCCGCGTGCAGCTACGCTGCAATTTCAACGACCGCGAACATTATATGATTCCGAAACGCCGCTAACATCGCTGGGAAAAGTGTCCACCGCACTTAAGAGACACGACGCCGAAAGAAACGTCAACAGAATAGACTCACGAAGACGCGACACTGACGTCGTCCGCGTCCCGCGCCCCGCGCGTCAACTCACACAAATCGGCGTCTAAACAAACCTCTGTCAGGCGATATAAACAATCAAAACCAAAGGCGTCGACACGTATTGTTCGATATATATATTGTCATTATCATCAGCTTAGTATTTTAAATATATTATTCATTATTATTTTCTTAAAACACTGTTTTCTCAATTATTCTGCCTATCACGAACCCGATCCGACAAGCGATTCAAACCCGCAACGAATCGCGGTTACAAAGCCAAGAAATGTTGCTATTTAACTATATCGTACACATATATCATACATTTTTATACAGAAAATAGAAATATTAATCTATTTCTAACTTCTTGTTGGGACTATACGGATGAAGTATCCTTCATAAACACGTTACATAGTTACTGTTTCGCTAACAAAAAAAGAAAGAAACAGTGTACATATCTTCGATTGACATAACTGTATTTCTTTTTTGTCTAAAGTAGCATAAGATTTATGTGTTACGTTTCAATATTGATCCATTAATAAATATATTCTACAATTTAACTATTGTTCTATTGTATTTCCTTTTCCGTACAATACTAACTGAATAAACTATTATTATTTCAATAATATAAAAGTGAAGAGTGGCAAGCGTAAAATAATAATACAAGTTAATAAATACTTACATAATTTCAGTACATTATGATATATAATATACTGTATAACGGTTACTGTACAACGCACAGTTCGTATATAACACACAATTCTTCACAGTACCAACTCACGGAACGAAATGCACGTTTTGAAATGTTGCGGACATTTATGTAGAGTCTAAATTGTACACAGTACGATGAAATGACTAAATTAAACTTCGCATGATGATCACGTGATTGTGTTGCGCGAAGCGAATAAAACCTATTTTTAGTACTAAACAGTAGTTGTTGATGCAATTCGATCTTCCTCTTTGGGCACGGGACTGTAAATAGTGTATGATTCATACACATAATGATTATATCATGATTATATTATATAATTTTAAAATATTATAATAACATTATAAATTGTAAACATTATACATTAAATATATGCAATTGTCTATATATTATTTTTTTACAATTAATTACATTCCCCTACTTACAGTAACGTATCTAGCTACAGTATCCATCTACTTGAACGGCATGACGCGTATAGCACAATATTATCACAACGTTTTCCAACTATTTAATCGAGACCACCTTATAATATTATATAAGGATCGATTTGGTATGAAATGCTGTACAATTTTTATCCTTACAAAAACTAATAAATTTTGCAAAGGTAATGAGTAGGAAGGGGGGGTTAAAAAATTTGATGTTTTTGAAAAAATTTAATATATTGTTTCAAAGAGCGTTAAATACTGTACAACTTTTGTAGGAAACATTTTTTCATATACCTTATATTTTAGGAAATATTCAATAAAAATGGAAAAGTCATTTTTTTCAAGAAACTGTTTCAATCCCTAAACTCAATATATGGCCGATAAAAAAAAATACGTGTCGACTACTTTTTGATGCTCTACAACATATCCAAAGCGCATCAAAATCGGGGGGGGGGGACAGTTCCGTAACTTCCCTTGTTAGTATCACTCCATTCGATAATTAATACATTTTGACTTCAGACGAAAGGATTTTGGCGACGATTGTGGGAATCCCATATCGACGATTGCTAAGTCGTTATGAGTTATTTGAGCGAAGATGGTGAAGAAGGCCCATGTTGACGACGGTTAGATTCACGTTGACATCCGGCAATAAGCTGGAGATAGGTATTCGAGCCACAACGACGAACTCCACGATAGTGAACATATTGCACGGCTTATTGTTTAATCTTGCTGGACATGTAATTACAACAGAATATTATTTATAACGTTAAAGCACGCACCGTTTTTTAAGTTTTTGAAGATAAAAAGAAGAAGATACTGTATTATCTCCAAATATAATTTTTAGCGAACTTCAATTATTCTGATTTTTTTTTCACCTATTTCCCGGTTATTTCCAAGCCCGAAAACGACATGATCTTAGTCATGTATAAATACAAATCACGTGGCAAGTACTTACTGTGTAATGTAGGACGCTGGTAAGAAAAAACTGCTGAAGCACAGGATTTCGTTGAACTGCGATCGCTGGACCTTCGCGGATTACACGGATCCGATACCAACTGGCGGCATCCGGGGTATTGGAGGAACTATTATGGATCTGCGTGTACCAAAATTTCTACAAAGTTGCATTGAGAAGGTATCGCGTTACTATTTAGATTAAATTATTGATTTTGATAGAGAATATATAACGAATTCGTATGAGCTGTAGGTTCTCCCAGGAGAAGGGTATGATCATAATTTCTGTGTGACGCCTAATTGGTACGGAGATAGCGGATATATTGCTCAAGCCGTTCATCCAAGAAGCAACCGGTAAGATTTGCAATTACATTATTCGCTAAATTTCCGCGATATTCTGTAAAGTATATAAATTGATATATATCATGTTTTGGAAGTGTACTCGAATCAACCCGGCGTCCGGTTTTACACAGGCGGCCGCTTATCACCATGCATTGAGGTATCGCTAGTTCGTAATGCCAATGATCGAAGCAACATACCGTAATTTGTATATATTGCAAGATTATTTTATCGTAGACCAACAATGACATTGCTGACACACAAGCTAACGATGATAAGCCAAATGATAAAGAAGGGAATGAGGAAGAGGTATTGACAAGTGAACAAACGAAAACAAATCATCGAGTTTTATCATCGAGAAAAAAGACGCTCACTATGACAAACACCGTGTTTTTAGCATTCAGCCACAAAATGATATTCCAAATTGATTAATTATGTAAGTAGAATGATGTTCTTATTTCCCAGATAGCCAAACCTGCGCGAGCAGATTTCGAACAGAGTTTGCTATCAACTTTTGATGGCAAATAGATAACAAATTTGATGCAGGATCTGTAATATCAAATCTTGCTGCCAAATTGCCGCCAGATATGCGGCAGAGCTTGTTGTTGGATAATTGCTGCAGATTTGCAGCAAAAACCGTGCAGAGTTTGTAGCGATTTGACGGCAGATTGACAGCAGAAACCGCGCAGACCTTGCTGCGCTGCAAACTTTGCGCGGTTTTTGCTGCAAAATTTGGCACTAATTGCCCGACAGCAAGATCTGTCGCCAAAACCGTAGCCTAATGTAGACACAGATGGCTATGGTTTTGCTGTGAGTTTTTGATCAAATTTGCTGCCAATCTGCGCGCAGTCTGCGCTCAATTTTTTTACTGGGTTCGTAGCATTCATTAATTCATATGAATTAATTTTTTTAGTCACATTTCCTTTGTTCTGTTCTACAACCTGTACAAGTTTACTGTCATGATATAACTTATAAATTTTGCATCCAATTGGCCAATTATATGTAAGATGTATATATTTTGAAATGAAAAAAAATCATCTCTGAAATCTGTGTTAAAGAGGGAAAAAAGATATAGGAAATAATACGTGGCATACAACATCTACTGCATTACCTGGAATATGTTAGCAAGAAGTGTAAGAATATTTTAAGTAAAAATATATTTTATTCGATTTTTATGATTAATTTTATTACAAAAGTAATTCATAAGTTTATGGAGCAAATTTTCATAATTTAGTTATTTCTTAAATTTACATAACAATACAGAACTATAGTTTAAAGATCAAACTTATTTAACTTTTTTACTGCAAAAAATTTTGCGATGTTACTAATTACAGATCCAAATGACTCGTTGATCGTCACGGAACGTTGAATCCACTGTGGTAGTGCTTTTATTTTATGACAGTAACGTTTGTCTAACAACACAACTGTCGAATAATCATTTATGTGACGTACGGATCGGCCGATACATTGGTTTACTGCTTTCATACAAGAATTTTCATAAAATTTACTCCCGGCGTCTGGTTTCTAGAAAATAAGAACAGAAATATCGTAATGTTCCACTAAGTTTCAAAATTTTATATTTCGGATTACATACCACGTTTTCGTTTAAATATTTCATCTTTTCTTGCAATTCTAGTGACTTAATATTAGGATATGGCAAACCAACTACTATGACACATCGACCCAAATCATCGGAAAAATTTAAACCTTCACTCAATTTGCCACCTAGGGAATATCATATAAATTAATTGATAAAAGTCACAAATTTTTTTTCTGTAAAAAAGTAATACACAGTCTATTTCTATAATATCGATACGATTTATTTACCAACTACACTGAACAGCAATGATCCATTGCGTGGAGTTTGCGAATTTTTAATGGAATGTGCATATTGATCCAATATTACACTCACCTACAATATAAGGATTATATATTTATAAAATATAAACACTAATTATTATCTGTTAAACAGATATATAGAATAAATTAAATACCTGTGATGCCAATTTTGGTTCACGATAGATATACTTTTTTAAAGAAATTTTTGATATGATGCCGGATTTATCTAAATGCTTAAACACTGTATCCTCAAATTTGTAAGATGGAAAAAATACTACGACTCCAGCTGGAACAATGTTACATAAATTTAACAGAGTTCTACCCAATTCATCCAGCTGAAACAAGGCAATAATTTGAATATCAAATAATTAAATATGTGATATAATGAGAAAGAACGGCGATTGTATTACCAATTTTATATTTTGACGATTATGAAAGCTAAATTCAAATTCAACTCCAGTAGGACCACGCATTACAACATTGGATATAATATTTTCTTTAGGAATCACGTGATCGCACGAAAACGTTACTATTCTATCTGTTGTAGCGCCCGCCATCAGAAATAGCTGATCTATAAATTCAGACATTGGCTCCATTGTGCCACCAGCTAGTACCACAGATCTGGCATCTTCTACTACCATTTTTACAATCAGAAATTTAACATATTAAACAAAATCAAGCTAAATATAGAAATAAAAAAGCATACGATTGTTTATGACAAAATAAATGTTATATATTAACCAATGTACATACCAATATTATGAAAATGTGCCGCAGGATTTAACAATAAAAATTTTATAATTCCTTGTCCAATAGTGACGCCAGGTAAAACATATATTCTGCCATCTAAACAGCTGCTCTTCAAGGATTCCAAGAAGCTCAAGATTGCCATCAAGGAATTGCTTGTTGGCTCTTCATTGTTATTTGGTGTGTCCATGACACTAGCAGCTTCTTGAGTCGGTATATCTTTATTTTTTATGGAATTTAAAAATTCTGTCATTCCAGAGTTGGTCGTACTCTGTTCATTGATTTGTATACTGTTACCATATTGCTCAACAAATCCTTGAAGTTTATGAACGAGTTTCGAAACTTTCACAAATTCTAAGAGCTTGAATATGTTGACTGTATCAATCTCCGTAAGTAGCTCGAATTCCTCTATATTGTATAATTTGGGTACTATCGTCTTATTGACTTCATCATTAGGATGAGATTTTGTTGTTGCTCCAAAGAGAATTAAAAACTTCTTCAAACAAAAACTTAGCTGGTTTAAATACAGCACACTCTTAGCTGAGAATAGAGATTCAAACCTGTAATATTCATTTTCGAACATTGAACAATTATTAAACATTATTAAATAAATATTAAACATAATATTTATTTAATGATTTAAGGTATTTTTAAAGTAACATATTACTATGCAGTACTTTTTTTGATATTGAGATAGTTGACTGTAGCAATGGAATAAATTTCTTCCTGTAATGACAGAACTGTGCATTTCTTCAATAGCATCCAGTAAATTATGAGCTTCATCTATGATTAAAATATTTTCTTTCAGGTCTATTCCTAAATTGACTCTGGTGTTTTTGTGTAAAATAGAATTATATGGGACCAATATCAACTGACTATTCTGTATAGATTTTCTTGAGCCATAATATGGACAAGTATTGTTTTGCTGGCCTTTCTGCATAATTTCTTCGATATCTTGAATATTTGTTAGTATTTCAGCCATCAACAATTTCTGGTCACCTGGTATAAAAGGACAGCCATTTGTAGTTTTCGATCTCTTCAGATCTTTTTCCTTCTTAGCAGTAGTCTTCTTCCTTTGCAATTGAAGACAGGTCTCATTAATCAAATTTACATGTTTTAATTTCTTGACACTTTTGTTGATACAGTAGTTTTGCCTAAAAAGAGATAAATAAATGTTTATATATACAGGGTGTTCCCAAAAGGTAGTACCAAATTTTAGGGATATGTAGTACTCGTTAAAACAAAACAAAAAGTCTTAATGAACAGTACTTCAAAAACCTTTTATTTCTGAGTTATGAAGCATTTTATTCTGTGAAAAATAGAAAATAACTAAAATTTACAATAACGTAAACGTTGATGAATTTTGTTAAACATTCTTCTACTTGGCTGTCGGCGATTCGGATAAGCTGCATGATACAAGCGTGCTGCTTTTGAAGCATTGCCTTTTGCTCTGTCATACATAAAATGAATATCCGTCATTTCAGAATTTGTGTAAAAATTAACCATTTTTCAGATAACACAAAACTAGACAAGGTCCACAATCCAAAGTTGAATACAACAATCCCTACGTATTAGGTGGTCACATACGGGCGTCCGTGAATGATTAAGAGACTTGGAAACTTGTCAACAAATACAAAATAAACCTAAACTCTTTAACCTTCAATAACGAAACATACCGAAATGTGTATTGACATGAGCCGAAGGCACATTGAACATTTATTGTAGATTTAATTTCTATTTTTCACAGAATAAAATGCTTCATAACTCAGAAATAAAAGGTTTTCGGAATACTGTTCATTAAGAGTTTTTGGTTTAACGAGTACTACATACTCTTAAAATTTGGTACCACCTTTTGGGAACACCCTATATATATGTGTGTGTGTGTGTGTAGGGTGTTCCCAAAAGGTAGTACCAAATTTTAAGAGTATGTAGTACTCGTTTGGGAACACCCTGTATGTATGTATGTATATATATGTATATGTGTATGTATGTATATATATATATATATATATATATATATATATATATATATATATATATATATATATATATATATATA